GTCCCTCCTCAATTGTACAAAATGCAGTATCTGCCATGTCTATCAACTGAATCCCATCACTCCCTCCTTTGCTTTGCTCTACCAGCTCACCATTTATAATGAAATTTAAGCTTTTAGACGTCATGTTCAAAGCTCTATATACTGTTGTGCTGCCCTCTTCCACCCTACCTATTCCAGGCTTAGGCTGCCTCCATTGGAATGAAGGCCAGCCCTCCATTCCAATATTCCTGGTTTGCCTTCCCATTTTTGCTTCCCACACAATTATTTCCATGTCTTCTTACCCATAAACCCCTATGCACAGTGCAAATTCCTGAGCTGATTTCATGGTCCCTGCCCAAGCAACATTTAACATTTCATTTCTGTCAGGCTTCATACCATGAACTCAGCTAAACCATATATAAATTGTTGCTGCTTTTCTTTAGACTTTGAGCAACTCTGTAAGCACAGAACATCCTTTCCTGTCTGCATTTGGTTGGTGCCTCTATAAATATTAACTTCTAAAAAGGGAAAAGCATACTTATTTTATCATTGGTTGATTTGAGCACAAAGGCCATCCTGTACAGTTATTTTTACATGTCTATGCATATATGCCATGTGCATCTTGCATACTCTGTAAGTTTGACTCAAGGGTTTTTTGGTTTGCTTTTTTAGAGAACAGCACTGATATTTGAATAGTGCTTCTGTCACCAGACTATTTTGGGAAAGATTTAATGTAATATAATTTTCTTAGTAATAAATTCTTACCTTTATTATTGTAGACATCCAAGTAATTAGGTGCCGAAAAAATTGTTATTAATGATGGGAACCCTGTAGTTTGACTTTTTCTGTACATTCTATAGCTGTAAAACCAAATAACTTAATTTGCATCATAAAGAATAAGTGATGATTTTGTATTTTGCATTGTTAAGTAATTTCTGGAAGGATACAAAATACTTACCCTGCATCTTGTGCTTCGTGTGCTCTAATAATTGACAACAAATTATTATTTTGCAAAAATTCGCAAACTGCTGGGTAGCTGTGAAATAAAAACAGCTATGAGTAAAATCAACCTTTTCTAAAGATACATAATTCTTAATACTAAAATGTCAATTAAATCCTAAATTGCTTTTTACCTATAAAAATAGGAACATCCTCTGACTGTATTGTGACTGAAGTGCTCTTGTGAGTTTTCATTTCCAAAATCTTCTGAGGGATCAGACCACAGTAAGTCACACATTGGTCCAAACGCAGGAGGCTCTTTAAATCTATCTAGCTGTTTAAAAAAAACAAACACCACAAATCTGATTTGAATACTGAATAGGTCAGTTTTCCTCTTTATCTGTATAATTACGTACTTAATCCCTGTCACTTCTTTTTCCCTATTATGTAAAGCAGAAAGAATTCAAACACTCAGGTGAAGACTTGAGCACACAACCATTAAAACCATGTGAATTACTGGCCATATTCAGAAGAGAGGGATCTTCCAGAATGGTGTGTGTGCTATGAGAAAATAAATTTATACAGATGGACCCAAATTGTCTTTTCTCAGCTGCACCAAATAAATCAGACTGGAAACAATAGTGGGAATTATTAACAGCACAGAAAACAAAATGGATAAAAGATGATATAAAACCATAGCAGCCAGCAGAGCCAGACAATCCAATATCACATCCAAAGAAATTAACATCTCTACAATGTATTGTTTATAAAGTAGTGAAGAGATGGATAGCTTGAGTCTTCACAGACTTTTTCTTTTGTACAAAGTTTTATTGCTGTGCCACAACACTGCCATGGACCTTGGTGGGGAGAGAGGCCTTGAACACTTCTGGAGGAGTTTTATCTTTTTTCTTTAAGAAATGCCTGTTCTGATCCATTTGGAAACTTGTTTCAGTGGCTTGTTACCTTTCCAGTGACCACATGAAGAAAAACAAAATAGAGCATCTGCTATGCAAAAGGAAAGAATCCTGATCATAGGAAAGTAGGGCTGGAAGGAAATGCATAAGGTCATTTAGTCTAGCCCCCTGCCAAATGCAGGATTGTGCCCAGCTAAACCATCCAAGTCACGTGTCTGTCTAACCTGCTCTTTAAAATTTCCACAGATGGAAATTCCACAACTTCTCTAGGTGACCTGTCCCAATGACTGACCACCCACATAGTCAGAAAGTTCTTACTAATATCCAGCCTAAATTTTCTCTGCTTAAATTAAGGCCACTGCTCCTAGTTCTGGTCTCCTACAGCCACAGATAAAAAGCTAATCTCCAACCTCTTTATAACCTCCCTTCAGGTATTTGAAGATTTATCAACTCCCCCCTCAGTCTTCTCTTCTGTATGTTATACTTGAGATCACACTTCAGAATTCCCCTAATTGATATCAGATATGCAAGTTGCAAAATAAAGATCAAATAAGCTTTATAATAACTCCAGTTTGTTCACAGGGTGACTTCATCCACGAAATGTAGGAAAAGTTCTTTGAGGGATATTGCATTAATCTCATTTTACCTCCCATGCCAAAGATGACTTTCATGGTGCTAGACAACACTTAACTTTTCATGACAGGTTCGAAGGGAGGTTTGGTGAGCAACTGAAGAACTTTCTTTAGCCTGTAACAGTCAGTAGGGACCCACTGCAATATGGAACCAGGAGCAGTGCCAATCTGTTTCATACCCTGGAAAGTCTGAGCCACCTGTAACATAAGTGGAGAGGTCCAGTTCTTTACAAATCCCTGCCAGAACGAAAACCAGGCAGGTTTCAACTGAATTTTATGTTGGGATTTATTCCTAAAGTGTTAATAATCCAAAGGATAACAATCTCCATTCTGCATGATAGAACGCTGACTGGAATTTTTCTGGACTGATGAAGCAAATTCATTAACTGCCTGGGGCATCTTAGTTACTGCAGACTAAAACATCAAGTTTATCAGCCAACTGCAATAGGTTTAGTACAAGGTCTTCACTGAGGCATCTACAGAAGAAAGATTGTACTGCCTGGATTAACATCTGGAAAGCAAAGGACTGCAAGCCCAGAAAAAGGAGCTTAGAGAAACATTCTAGATTGATTTTTCTAAAATTTTCTCTATGCTCTTGACCAGAATGGAGAGAAGGCACCAGTATACATCAAAACATTCAGTTCCTGGAAACCACACATCTTTCGTCCAAGTTACCTTCTCACAGCATCTAGAAAAAATATGCTGGCCTTTTAGTTTTTATTTTTATGAAGAAAATAGGTTAATTTTTTTTAGGAAAACAGGTTGTAGAAAGCTATTCTGCTTAAACACCTATTTAAATATACAGTATATGACTATAGCTCCTATTTCAATTAATAGAAATTTCTGATCTAGCAGTTGGCACATTTTTAAAGACTTATCCAAAACATAAGAAGCTGGCTTGTGAACTGTTCCATATACAGACTGTACTCACAGCTACATAAGACTCTAAGCACTTGTCACATGGGAAATGTTAACTAAGAATTTGTCCACATGGGAAGTTATTTCAGACTAGTTAATTCCTGATCAACAACCTGGGAGGATGTTTTATTCCGAAGTTGTTGAACCCGCTTGCTTTAGACAGTAATTAATTCAGAATGAAGCATTCTTATTAAAGCATAATACCACTGACACAATGTGTTAATCAAAGTTATTCTGCTTTAAATTCACATCCGATATTAATCTGAATTCTCTGTGTTGACAAGTCCTAAAGCTGTGAGACTTAATTGTTCCTAAAGACAATGCATTAAACCCTACCTTGAATGTTTTAATTCAGGAGTAGCATGATCCTGGACGTGGATTAAGCTACAAATGAAAGTCACTTTATTTCTAAATAAGAGCACCCCAATTAGATGCACAATAAACTTGTGCATACTGACTTGCTGGCTTTAGGCAATTTGTCATTCCTTTCTTGAGAGTCCCTGTATAAATAGAGACCTACCTAAGTCATGGTGAGACAACAAGTTTTTTTGTGACCTGCTCACAGCACAGAGCCGCGTGCATTTCACAGCAGGGCATTTCACAGCAACCCCGCCCCTCACTGACCATTGGCTGAGGGCACCTTCATTCAATCTATGTCACTACTGTTTTCTTTGCCCTGTCCCTCACCACTGATTGGCAGAGGGTGCGCCTTCACTCAGTCTAATCACTACCGCTTCTTTTGCCCTGCCCCTCACAGCTGATTGGTGGAGAGCACCTTCACTCAGTCTACCTCACTACCATTTGGGGGTTTTTTGGTTGATTTCACAGAAAATCAGAGCCCATGCCAGATTTCCTGGCAATGGTGGACAACACATTTTTTTGAGGTTTCTGTGAAACTGTAATTTGGGTAGGTCCCTATGTATACAGGCATCCCAAGAACAATGCGAGAGGTGGATCAGGGGGTTTGTCGTCAAATGTGTTGTCAACAAAAAGGAGATTTCAAGCAAGACAGAGAGCAAAGATGTGAGAGATTACAGACAGACTCCCAGTAATGGCTCCATTAGAGTTTCTGTTTAAAAGAAGGGCATGAGACATGCTGGGTATGTTGGAAGAGAACTGGCTTTAATCAGGCAGAGATTCTGGGATGAGGAAATAAGGGAAGAAAGGATACAGGTTAGAAGGGAAGCCTACAAAGAGAGATGGGACTGGAACCCAGCAGTGATGTGCAATATGAGGATGAAGAAAGAAGAACAGAGAGGGGTACTGGGGAGGGAAGTGAGGCCAGTTGAGCAAGGAAACTGAGGACAAGAAAGCTAATAATGCCTGGGGAACAGGAGACTGGGACAGAAAATCTGGATGGGTAGGAGTAAAATGTATTAGGGCAGGAGGCTATACTAGGACCAAGAGACTGAGGTGGGAAAATTGGAACACACTAGATGAGGAGAAGAAGAGAAGGAACAAGGGGTGCAATAGATATAGGACTGGGACAGGAAGAAGTTTGCAAGAGATAAAACAAAAGGGGTCAAAGTTTGGGAGAATGGGCAGCAGAGTCTATACATGCTAAAGCACCTTTAGAGCTTGGAATAAAATCTAAGATTCCTGCATCTCTCCACTCCTCTTTCAGCAAGTATTGGTGAAAGCCAATGTCTGTCTCCCCTAACCCTCTACTGCTGGTATAACTATCAACCTGCTACTAAACCAAATCAAATGACAGAGGTCTTCATGGCATAACCAAAGTTTAAGCCTGCTCAGGGCCTGCACAGGTTTCAATGTAGTTCCTCATGATTAATCTGGTTTTCAGTTTGCTTTCTTAGAAACTTAGGTAGTTACACAAATAAAACAACAACAAGACACTATTATTAAGGTTCTAAGATAAAGCACTCAGAAGTAAGGAAATGCCCAAATGAAGGCTGCCTGTGCAACTTTAATCTGGACCACTTGCAAGTATATTTTATGACAGGGCTTCAATTACAAAATCATCCAACCTTTTTCCCCATAGAATCTTGTCTCATCCAATGAACAAAATGAACACACCTTGCTTGCTGAGAATCTATTATTTTATTTTCTCCTTGGTGTTCAATGTGTGGTCCCTACCTTATTTACGAAACATTATTCAAATTCTGCTATGGAGACAAAATTATTCTTTTTTTAAAGGTTTTCCAGGGCATACACTGCTACAGTACCAGAGTGCTTCACAAACATAAATGAATAGAAGAACCATTCTCTCCATTTTTATGGACAGGAAAGGGAGTCAGGGAGTGACTAAGCTCAAACATATCCATTCATTTTGGGAAGGGGATGAGAGTGGCGCTTGGGACACGCCTGCCAAAAAGTCTGGCCCCCATTGACTTAAAATTTGGAAAGCGACATAATAAAATTAAGTTTTCCAGTCAATTGCCTTCTCCACAATTTTGAAAAACAGGATGGGTACTACAAAGAACCCTTAAAAAAATCAGTCTCTATGAGGAAATGGAGAAATGAACTGCATCATATTTGAGAAAACGTACGTTAATCAAAGATGCAAAGAGAAAAAGGTGACGGCTTAGAACATAAGTATCCTTTCACAGCACAGAACTACTATTCCTAACTCCTAAAACAGTTGTGCAAAACGTAACAAATTTAGGCACCATGAAATAAAGGAAAAGACGTACAGTGCAAAATATATTAAAGCAAAACCTCCAAACAATAGTATTCATAAGCAATACCAACTGCTATCTAGATATACGTGACAAAAAAAAAACAATGTTTTTATTCCAATATATTAATCTGCTAAAGCAATAACAAATGTTCAACTTGTATCTTATAAAATAAAACAAATTATTCAAGGAAAGGTTTCTATATTGATCAATGAAAGCATTACAGTGGCTGCT